TGTGTGTGTGTGTGTGTGTGTGTGTGTGTGTGTGTGTGTGTGTGTGTGTGAAAAAGCTGCTGAGTCACTGAGGAATGTGGGAGGCTTGAGAGAACGTGACAGGGAGAACCACTGGCACTGGGTCCTTCACCAGATTCTAATCTACCAGTTCTGCATAGAGGCAGGAAAAGAGACAAGTAGAAAGATTTAAGCTTCTTTTTTCAAAAAAAAAGCACTTCTGAATCACTGTTAGAATAAGTAGTCTGCAATCTGTCTATACCTTGGGAAATGTTTTATTGCTTGTAAATTATGGCTCTGGTCCCCTCAAGGACTCTGGGCTGGTAGGCATTTAGTTTGATCCCCAAGGGATCAATTTTTCTAGTTGGTTTATTGCCCCCAGACTGACATTTTACTCTGGGGAAATCTCCAATGCAAAAGTCAGGTATAACTTGTGTCTAGGCCTCTCCAGATGTGCATAGTAGGGCTTCCAACTCTCACACAGTGAATTACATATCCATAGTCAATCAGATATGGCTCAGTCTTTATTTCACTCACTACAGAAAATGCCTAAGATGCAAAGAAAAAATTCACAGAAACTCATAGATAAATACAGAAACTTGAAGTATTTAAACAACCCACTACACTCATTAGACTTCCTCAGAAGGTAGACATAATTCGGGGAGGGGATGGGAGGAGGCTGCTGATCAAATTATTTCCCTTCACATTGGACCTGCACAGACTGAGCAATTTCCAATAATAGTGAGATTGGCAAGGTCCAGATCTCTAGCACCCTTTCCCCCTGTCCCCATGGCATAATTTCAGCCCTTAAATTTCAGATTTTCAATTGATGTACTTCCTTCTCCAAGAAGTACCATGTGGAGAAAATATCCTCACTCCAGGTGGTTGGTTCCCAAATGATTGAACTCAGGAACTCTCATCCTCTTGGGAATTCCCAAATTTGGGATTAGTTACTCTGGGCCAGGTTTGACTCTGGGCCAGAGTTGCTCATATATGTCATATACAATTGAACAATAAAAGAAAATTTGCTCAACATGGAAAGCATATTCTGCAAAGATGTAGCATTACTTCATAGCTCCCCTCTCTTCCACATTTGTCAGGCTGACTTGCTTAGTTAGAGGGGTATGTTGATTTGAACATCAGTGGAGTGTCTCTTATGCCTGAGATACATCACTCATGCTACAGGCTTTTATACCTTTGTTGTTATTGTTGTTCAGACATTTAGTGATGTCCAACTCTTTGGGACACCATTTGGGGTTTTCTTGGCAAAGATACTAGAGTAGTTTGCCATTTCCTTCTCCAGCTCATTTTGTAGCTGAGGAACTAAAGGCAAGTGGGGTTAAGTGACTTGTCCAGGGTCACACTGCTAGTGTCTGAGGCTAGATTTGAACTCAGGTTTTCCTGACTGCAGGCCCAGTACTCTATCTACTGCACCACTAGCTGCCTTAGGCTATCAGAAAGCTTCTTCAATGGTTTGGGTCTTCTTCTTCTGGAATAATTAAATCTTTTTTTTATTTTTTATTTATTTATGTTTACTTATTTTTTTTTGTGAGTCATTTGGATTGGACTTGCCCAGAGTCACAC